TTGCTTGTGAAGATTTTAAGCCATAAGATCAGATGGTTCCTTATTTTTCTCAGTAAATCAAAGAGAAATGTTTCCTATGTAGTTATCCATTATCATATTTTACTGTAAAATCAAAAACCCAATGACTAAAATAAGAACTTAAAAGAATGACTAATCGCTCATTTTGAAGTCCAAGATTGTGACTGGCAGATAGTTCATATTTTATTTGTTGTATCTCTTGCTGGGGCTAAGTAACCCTCCAAGCAGTAGAGACTAGCCAATAGAGGGCGCTAGGGTGCTGCCCCACCAGCCCAATAACTTTGACTAAGACATAAATAAAAATAAATTGAAATTAAATTATAACATTAAAATATTTCAAAATATATTGAGGGTCTGACCCAGCATGGAAAAAGACAGGTTGGACTGATTTAAAGCACTTTTTTTTTTTTTTTTTTTTTTTTTTTTTTTAGAAAAGGCAAAGAATGATGAACAATCTGGGATTCACATGGAAAATAATATAATATAGTAGATTTTTTCTAGATGTTTGTTAGTTTGCATAGTTGCTCTTAAATAAACACATTCTCAGAAAATATATCGTTTTTATATATTAAATAAAGCTTCTCCATAATTAAAATGGTATATTATTTTTTTAGGTTTGTGACACAATATTGGACCATGTAAAACAAATGTATCTTCACAAAGCCTCAGAAAGGCAAGATTTATGTACAAAATGTAGATCTGTACATGAAATTATGTTTTGTTATTACAAAGTGTTTTATAATGTTTTTGGCATTCATATCAATATACTGGTGTGATAATTTAGTATACGTTTGATTGGTTTTTTACCCTCTGCACCAGCCGCCACTGCCTCCAGAAACAAGAGATGTTTATGTGACTTATGTTTCCCCCTTAAACTGATGATAATTGATTGGTTTCATAAACTTTTATAAGTAATACTAAAAAAGTAAAGAATTTGTTGTTTTATACTTTTAGGTTTGCAGCTTGAATAGCATTAGAAAGAAAGTGTTGAATGGGTGCAGTCGTTATGAAAAAGCTTTGCACATTTCACACAGAAAATACCTAGAGATGAAAAAAATATGCAAATTTCTCACATGTATCCAAATTATACTTTAAAACAATTCCACATTTGAATGACCATAAATAACAGTAAAATACAGCTAAAGTATTTTCTGTATCAGCAAGCAAAAAAAAAAAAATGCAAAGGTTAAATATTTGTTGAGTTTCTGGTCAGTTAAAGATAATATTTTTTATGAATTCTGAATTTACATAATATAAACAGAATAATCCTATTTAATAAAGTTAGAACTGTTGAATACCCATAATTCTTTGCTGGCATGTATTATTTTCAATATACAACCTGTGTGTCATATTCTTTATATTTGAGGTACTTCTGTATATATAAATGAGTTTCTTTTTGCAATAAAAATTAATAAAGATGAATAAAGATGGAAAATCTGTATGTGTGTGAATTTAATGTCTACCACAAAGAGCCAACCAGAACATTTTGCTCTGATGTTTCTCCAGGTATCTGT